TGTTGGATTATCGTCATTCGGACGTCGAGGCAATCGTTGATATAATTCTTCTGTCACAAAAGGCATAAATGGATGAAGCAATTTAAGACCTGCCTCCAAACAAGTATATAGCGTATCTTCAGCAGAACGTTTACATTCGGCATCTGATGATATTGAATCATTGGCTGTCAGTGGTTTTATCAGTTCCTAATGTTAAATTGCAGATAAATTAACGCTTTTCCTAGAGCTCTTGATATTCCTGATTACAAAAAAAATTACATACGATGTAGATATCACACAGCACGTATAACCAAAAGCTATATACAGCTGTTGTAGCATTCATAAAGTTTTTTTCATGAAGAGCTTTGTTCGTGTCTACAATGGCTTGGTTAAGCTTATGTAATGTCCATAGTTCAGCAAGTGATTCTTTTCCAGTTATCTAATGTAAAATTCGATGGTAAATTGGATACAGAATTCTAAAAACCCCAATATTTTAGGATGTATAACCTACATTTGCGTCGATCCTCGGCTTGAAGTCAGTTCCTAATTTAATCAAAGCAAATCGAGTGGCATTCCATAATTTGTTGCAGAATTTACGATATCCTTCCACGCGAAGAATGTCGAGATTAATATCTCGACCTGTAAAAAAAATGTTTTTTCAAATTTAAACAATCACGAAGAAGTACGCTTAGGAGAAAAATAAAACTAACAAATACCCGTCGAAGTGTAAGCGCATAATGCGAATCGTAAAGCATCTGTACCACACTCTGGAATACCATTTGGATAATCTGCTTTTTGACCAGCTGTGGCCTTCTCAATTTCACGTTTATCAAGGTTTCCTTCATATAATTTAGCATGTAATTTTTCTAAGGAGATGCCTTCAATCACATCTACTGGATCTATCACATTACCCAACGATTTACTCATTTTACGCCCATGTGCATCACGAATCATAGCATGACAAAAAACTTCACCAAACGGGACTTGCCCGGTAAGCTTAATGCCTAACATAACCATGCGGGCTACCCAGAAAAATAATATGTCCCACCCGGTTTCTAACAACGATGTTGGATAGAAATTAGCTAAATCATCAGTCTAAAACGAATAACGCCAACGATGCTAATGTTAGGTTAACTTTTTGAGCGATATTCGATTATGACAAAAGATTTATAAAAATACCATTTCAGGCCAACCGAAGATCGAAAACGGCCACAATCCAGATGAAAACCACGTGTCCAAAACATCCGGATCTTGTTCCAGAGTAAATTCAACGTTTGGAAATTTTTTCTTTGCCTTTTCGTTGGTTTCATCCATATTACGACCAGAAACCCAATATGAACCATCAGACCGCTATAATGATAATTAGCTAATATTAGAATAAGCTTGATTTATTATATTGAAAATGATATTTTACTTACGTCCTGAACTTTATTTGTTATCTTGATGAAATAAGCAGGGACTCTATGTCCCCACCAAAGTTGACGAGATATACACCAATCTTGAATAGATCCAAGCCATCTGAACCAATCTTTTTCAGACGTTTTTGGAAAAATACGAAGTTTTCCATCCGTAACCGCCTAAAGATCTTATTAATAATCATTTGTGACCAACATTTTTGATTACCACATTCAATTT